ACAGAGAAATCCAAGTGGTGTACCTCAGCAGTGGAAAATATGTCACGCTAGCCAGAGTCAGCTAGCATCCTGTCCTAGCGCTCTTGAATATGAGATGTACCAGTCTGACGATTATTCCAAGTGAAGGTGTTCCCGCAATACCCTAGATCAAGTAGCTCACAATGCAGAAGAACATTCTAAAAATCTAGCATTCTCGAAACATGTGCTTGTCTACCACCCAGCTTCTCCCATGGGATCGTGATGGCATTAAAGTCACCTCCACATAACCATGGCTCAGAGGAAAGACCCCTCAACCGTCTCAACAAATCCCAGGACTGGTACTGTAAGTGTTTCTAAGAATGGCCATAAAACCCGATGAATCGCCAGTTCCTTCCCGTTGAGTTAACAACTAATGCATCAATATGCCCCTGAAGAAAAAGAACGAATAGTCACATCCATTTCATCGCCCCATAGTAACATGAGTCCACCACTTCTGCCTCTACTATCCATCACAAAGCAATTCTGGAAACCCAACTAAGATCCCATTATTTGCGCCCACCTACCAGAAAGTCTAGTCTCCGAAAGAAAGACTAGACTTGGGGAATGAGTCTGCATCAATCTGCGAAAAGCAGTCAACGTTTTAGGGTTCCCTAGTCCCTGAACGTTCCAACAAAAGCAACTCATGGCTCCTGACGTCCCTGGCCACCAGGGTGCGCCTCAACAAGAGTATAATCTGGACTGGAAATCACTAATCGTGCCCTCTTCTCATGTACATCCGGAGGATCCTTCAGAGAATCTTTCTTGTGTTTGCCTCTTTTCTCTTTCTGTTTGGAGCCCTGCTACCCAGACCCTCTAGCAAGCCTCTTCCAAGTCGATATAGCCCGCTTTCCGGAGGTGGATGTGGAAACTGTAACATCATGTAAATCAGAGCCAAAGCCGGTATCCATGAGCAAGGGTACATGAGGGGTTTCACACCTCTCAGTGACTAAAATGATCTGTAGTGGAGCACTATCATGTGAATCATCATCCTTAGTATTATCTGAGATGACCCGAGATGATGGTTGTTTCTGCCCCTCACGATCTGCTTCAGTTGCTCTAGAAGACCGAGTCTCAAAGGCCTTGAAAGATCGAGAGGGTTCTCTGAGCCAAGAACCATATCTCCTTTTGGATGTGATAAAAATACCATCGACTTGTACACTTTATTTGTCACACTCAGTAGCTTTGTGGCTAATAATGCCACATGAAAAGCAAAAGTCAAGAAGTCTCTCATAGGTGAGGAAGAGCTTCTCAATCTCACTGGTCTCTTCAAAGCAAACATGTATGCTTCTTTTTAGAGGCTTAGTAATATCCACGAGAATTCTTAGCCGCATCTTGTTATCCCGCAAATCAATCCCTTTAAGTTCTCCTATAAGCGAGTCATAGTCTCTGGCGCACCTCTCGTTCATCGCAGCCAGTGGTACATTCTTGACGTTTACCCAAAATAAAGTTGAAGAGAAATCCAGAGAAGTTGGGACACCGTCCCCAAGAGGAACAATCAAATTGAGCAAATTCCTTTCAAAGCATCATGGCCCACCATCAAACACTTTCTCCCTATCTGCATCAGAACCGAATCTGAAAAGAAAAGTATTCCTTCCACTATAATGTTCCACTTGGAAGGGGGCATCTACAATCCATACCTTCCTAAGGACACACTCAAGACCATCTCTATAGCAATCTTCCTACCAAAAACCTTCCCCAAGGCACAGTTGTTAAGGGAAGGCGAATCTGTCTGGTCCTTAGTTGACAGAAAAACAGGGTCATCTTCATCGTCTAAGCTACATTTGGCACAAAGCTCGGCCAGCCCGTCATCATCAATTCTTGCCATGTTTCAAATTAATTTGGAGCCGAGAGGCTGCTTAAAACGGTGATGTCGTTAATATGAGACCGATAGATGGTCTTAAAATAGCGATGCTATTAATTTGAGTATGAGAGACGACTTAAACGGCGATGCCGTTAATTGGAGACCGAAAGGCGGCCCTGAAACGGCGATGTCGTTAATTGAATATGAAACGGTGATGCCGTTAATTAAATATGAAACGGCGATGCCGTTAATTAATTATGAAACAGCAATGTCGTTCGTGTGAGCCGAGAGACAGCTACCTCGGAGGACGAGATGTGTGAAACCCTGAAGACTGCCGTGAGGGTTGGGGACGAGACACAGATCTCGCCAAATAATTTGCCACAAAACTATCAGAGTGAGACAGGAAGGGTCGTGCCTTACAAAGATTGTAGAAACCAGCCAGAGAAAAAAATAAAAAGAGACGGTCGTGCCGATGGAGATCCGTCACGAGGGAGGGGGAGAGAAGCGTTACGCGCTTCCAGAGAGGAAAAGGAACATAATGAGATCTAGGGTTTTCAAAACCCTAGAAAGGGGGCGGCTACAAGAGAGAGACCCGACTGAAAACTAAGGTTTTTAAAACCCTAGAGAGGACGGCTACGAGTGAGAGCCGACTGTAACGCCGAAGAAGTTGGTTTAAAAGGCTTAAGAGTTAAGAAGCCAACTCTTTATTCTTTTGAAGTGCTTTAGCTTCGTTCTGGTATGTTATCAGAATATTCAGATGTGATCTTTGGACATCAAAAGCAAAGTCCAATATTTCTTGTGTTTCGGATCCGAGTATGAAAAGAATACCCCCTCCATAATGTGAATGTACGTCATATAATTACAAAAGCAACTGCTTTTTAAATTGGAAACATGTGTCATTCTTCTGATTGGCCCTCAACTAGTTTATAATCACATCTATTAAGTTCCTAGTTGTCTCCTTTCGCTTTCTTCCTACTATTCAACCACTCATATCCGTTTGTTCTTCATTTTCACTATATGACAGCCACATGAAATCGCACAATGCTGCATCACTTTTGCTCTTTAAACCTCCTACTCGTTCTCTCTCCACTTGTTGTGGTTTAGGTCTCATCTAACTCACTCACCTTTTTTTTGATCTCCTCCATTCCTTTAATTTATCTTTATATAGCATAATAATCTCTGAGAAGTTTCTATGCAAACCTACAAAAATTAGATAAGATCCCTAATCATGTGGGTTATGTCCATTGCAATCAATTTTGGCCATATTAGATGACCAACCTAGAATTATTCAACTATGTGCCAAAGATCATTCAACAATAATAAGAACAATAAGGGGAGATTATTATGAACCTTGGTATGGTACTAAGGTTGCTGTGTTTTGTACAGTCTCATTCTATCGACCTGTTGACCGCTATGCTAGTTTTCAATGTCGACAAAACCTAGTAATAACTATCAAACTTGACAGAATGACACGGGGGTTGAAAACCTAGTAATAACTATCAAACTTGAGAGAATGACACGGGGGCTGAAATTTACTGCATCTGATCTCAAGCTTAATGTGTTAATAGAGTGAACTAAGGTCAGTATGTACCCCGAAAGTGACGGGTGGTGTGTCGTTAACATAACACATATTCAAACCATCAGCTATTACCTGCATGTGTTAATGTTTTGGATTGTAATGACTTGAACGTATGTTATGTCCCCGACTCATAGGGTAAGGCCATGAAAGGACATACCGGTGCTCATTTATAGCGTTAATAAACACATGTTAATATTGTAATACATGGGATTCTTCCTTAAAATCACTTCTTTTACTAACTACTTGACCATGGAGGTTCTGTTTGACAACTATTAACGAGAATTCGAATTTAGGGGGAAAAAAACCCCAGAAATCCCATTTCCCTGTCGATCAGCATACGTAACACCAAACATGGGTAATCTGCTAATTAAAGAGCGCAATTCAATGAGGAATACGTTTCGTTGGGCCGGCATTTATCAACCGTGGCCCACCAATTCAAAACTTTTAAATGTAAGTGAGGGCCGGCCGATCAAAGTGGAGCCCGCAGTTGGGTGCACATCTAACTCGACCATAAATGAACAAGAAATGAACCCAAATTAATTGCCTGGCTCTTTGTGGGTCCCCACCATCTCAGTGGTGAACAGATTTTACCAGAACATCGGCATATAACAGGATTATTTATACCATTCTCGATCTGGTGAATAGAGAGTCGATGTAAAAAAAAATTAACTATTATGTTTGTAGCACAAACAATCATTCTTGTAGTATGGTTCTTATAAGATTTGTGGTGGATCTCATTTACCTCGTCGCTCCAATTATTTATTGTTACTTACTAAAGTTGTTATCACTAGTTACGACAATATGACAAGTGATTGCCGATTAGATTCTTCTCTTTCGAAAATAATATTTGTTTTCCAGTTGTTATTATTCTTCTGGTGCACCTGATGCGTCAAATAACATAAGAACATGGAGTGTTGAAAAATGAAGCATGGGGAGCGCTAAATATGATGGTTTTCTATTCTTTTTATTTTAATGCGCTCCTCCTATAAGTTTTAAGGTATTGAAATTTGTGAGATTATTTCTTGGGTTTTAAAAAGTACTCACGTGATAAAAGAGCGTTGTTATAGGCACCCAAAATATGAGACCAAGAGAGAGGACATGTGAGGTGTCCCCTCCTTATTGCATAATGAGCTGGCATAACCAGATCATTATGCAATAGAAAGAGGACATCTCACCTGTCTTATCCCTTGGTCCTATATTTTGGATCCTTAAGACATTTTTCGTGATAAAAAACATAGTTTCTTTTAGATTACAACTAATATTTTCATGCAGTTAGATGCATGCATGACATAAAAATTAAGTTCACGCAAGTCAAGAATGATTTTTTTTTAAATAACAGAATAGAGAGATAGTATACATATGTCCTCTGTCATCATTTCTACATAATTCTTATTAGAGTTCAATATTACTAAGCTATCAAAAGAAAAAAAAAATATTTTTTAATATTACTACAATTTTTCTATGCCCTTGCACATAAATAGTAAATGAACAAAATTATGAACCCAATTAAATTACATGGCCGTTTTTGGGCCCCCACCATGTCTCTGCGCCCAAGATTTTAATGCAGAGCTGCTCTCAATGCTCTCTGCTCTCCCACCACCTTGTCTCTTCAATTCTCTCTCTCTCGCCTCTTGCCATTTTCTAGAGTGAGAAAATAAGGATGTTGGAGAGGTCCTTAATTGTAGTTGAGCTCATCACGTTCTAAAAGTGAGTTTGAATGGGTTTTTGGCGAATGAATGAATTTGAGATTCATGAACTGGAGGAATTAGATTTTTTTTTTTCTTTTTTTGGCTTCTGGGTTCTGCTAAAGATTGGATTTTGATGACAGGTTTGATCAGTTGAAGGATTTTGAGAAATGGGTTTTTGAGGGGTGAGTTCAGTTTGAAATATGGAGGGAAGGAACCAGGCTCCTTTGGTGAGTTTATATTGCCTTTTCTCAGATCTTAGAAATTGAATTGCAATTTCTGTTTTCTACATTATACTTTTTCCATTTTTTTTGGTTTACTTTTATCTTCCCTTTGTGTTGATCTTGTGAGAAATAGATTAATTGTAGATGCATTATCTTGGAAATATCATATAAATGTCATAAAAGAATGGGAAAAATTGCAAAATAGACCGTTTTTGCTAATTATTTAGCAAAATAGACTGTTTTGCTAAATAATTAGCAAAATAGACCTTTTTTTGGCCAACAGGCCAAAAAGAGGTCTATTTTGCAAAACAGCTCAGAAAACGCCAAAAAGAGGTCTATTTTGCAAAATAGCTCAGAAAACATACGGGACTAGTAGTCCCGTATGTTTTAATCACGGATTAGTAAAATTTTCTACTCAGGGACTAGTAGTCCCGTATGTTTTAATCACGGATTAGTAAAATTTTCTACTCAGAAAACATACGGGACTATTAGTCCCGTATGTTTTCTGAGTCACTAATCCGTGATTAGTTGGCTCTAAACATATGGGACTAGTAGTTCCGTATGTTTTCTGAGCCTTGTTTTTCAAAATAGACCTCTTTTTTTCAAAAGAGGTCTATTTTGCTAATTATTTTTCAAAGTGGTCTATTTCGCTATATATTTCATAAAAATAGTCTATTTTGCAAATTTTCCCTAAAAGAATTGCATGATTATAGTTTGGCGAATTGAAGTTACTGATCAATTTAAAGGGGAGGAAATACAACCATGGTTTTGTTTGATGATAAATCCACTGGTATCATATAACATAAAAATAAGAATCAAGAAAATTGAAGAGAGGTAATTTTACTTGCATGTCATTTTCTCTTCTAAAGAACATAGTTTTATTTTCATTTATTTATTTATTTATTTTTATTTTTTTGGGTAAGTAAACCGGATCATATTTAGCTATGTCGTGAAGGGAATACATTTTTTTGTTTGTAATTTAGCATGCATGAGGTTATGTTTTTTACGAACAACATTATGCACTAAACAATTTTCATGCTTACGTGCACAATTAGTAATTTCTAACATGAGTTTGATTCTCTTTCTTGTTCTATCCAGTCTCTATAATCTCCATCATTTTCTTTATTAATATATAGTGAATATCTTTACACTTGTCTAATTGTTCCTTATGAAGTCACAATGGTCATTCATTGATGGCAAAATTGTTATTTGGATAAAACAGAAAGTTGAACAGGAAAGGTAGATGATCGGAACCATTGCTAATGATTTCAAATAATCTTCTTTCTTTTGTTTATTGAAGACACGATAATGAGAAGACCTGGGAGGTTTGTGGAGTTCGCTGCTAAATCCAGTTGAGGATTAATCCTTGTTGAATTAGGCTTCCAGTTTCCTTATGTTTATGTACACTATCATGTTCTATTCTGAGCGGCATCTTTAAGTCACTACTTAATTCTTATTTGGAGTCACGTATTTGGCTTCATTTTTAGGATTCGTTTATCACTATTCAGAATAGAGGTGAAGATTGATGCCTTCTATGTACTTGCGGGGAAGAGACCCTGTGGAACTCTGTGAGGTCCCTCATGAAACCGGAGAAAGTATTCAGTGGACAACATCCACCAAATAGATTTGATGATCTGATGCTCCTACCCAATAAGCAAAAGACAGCTCGTATACTTAATTTAATCTGTCCTTACGATATCTTTGTTAGATAGAGATTGCATCGTTAACTGTATGTCTTTTGTTGAATGCCTATTTCTCACTTATTTCTCTCTTCCTCCATTTCTCCTCCCAAATGCCCGCTACAACCACCCCCCCGATTGCCACAACCTTCTCCTCATGTTTATTCAGTTTGGATAGTGTAGGGTTGAAAAATATATGATTGATTCTTGTTTTAAGAATGGGTTCTATCACTTGGTAAGAATTCCTTACAATCGCTCTTAGCACGTAACCGACGTGCTGAAATCGTGGGTAGCGAGGCGTAACTGCCTCCTGCAATTTAGTCCACGTGGTCTAACTAGGTCTGTAAAACCGTTACAACCGAACTTCGTATGGATGACGAGCCTCGTTTCGTGGTGAGGTTCGTCAGATTAGACTAGCCTCAATGCGTAGCGAGGTTCGTCTGGTAAGGTAGGCTGCACAGTATAGCGAGCTTCTTCTGACGAATTTTGTCTTCACTGACTAACTTTGTCTGACGAGCTTCGTCTTCACTGACGAACTTCATCTTGAATAGCTGAATCTAATTGCGTAGCAAGTCTTGTGAACGAGCTTCGTAGTCTAACGGAATTCGATACTCGTTTCCAACGGCGAGTTTCAAACTTCTTATCTAACAATGAGCTTCGGCGCTTCTAGATTAGCTTTGCCCTCAGTGGCGAGTTTTTGATTGAGTCTCATCTTCAATGACGAGCTTTATCTTCAATGACGAGGTTTGTTGGCTGAGACGAGGTTCGCCTGCGGGAGGTTTGACCCTCGTTTAGTGCCTACAGATAGTCTATATCTATATATTCTATAAACTCAAATCATGTTATTTAATGTTGAATAACTAGAATTTATATCTCTGGATATAATTTATCTCTTTTGAATAAATATAAAATAATTTGATAGATGCTTTGAGGGAGGAGGAGAAATGGTGAAGGAAGAGGAGCTAAACACACTATCAAAGATAGGGTTAGGCGCGGGCCGGGTCGACCCGCGGGCTAACCCGACCCAGCCCGTCGTGGGCCACGACCCTACGGGTCAGGCCAAACCCGGCCTATGATATACGTGGGTCACGGGCCGGGCTGGGTCCAGTTCTAGACCCAAGACTAGGGATTTAGGCTCGACCCACTTTGACCCTGCCCACCATCAACTCGGCCGTGCCTAGCCCGGCACGACCCGAAATTTTAATTTTTAGTTTTTAATTTTTAGTTTTTTTTTTACAAAAAGTAAATAATAAGACTATAATCAGACCAAATTGAGCCTTTTTTGCTAAAGAGAGAGGCTCTCTCTTTTTTACTGAAAAGAGAGAGAACAACTTCTCTCTCTTTTGCTCTCTTTTTAGCAAAAAGAGAGAGCTTGCTAAAAGAGAGAGCCATTAGCTCTCTCCTTTTAGCAATCAGTAACAGTGTTTTTTCCCTCTTGTATTTATAATTTAAATTTAAACTAAAAGAAAGTTATTAAATTCTTGTGGATGTAGGTTTTTCTTCGAAGCTCGAACCACGTATATCTTTGTATTTGTGATATTTTTTGTGTGATGTTTATCTTTGTGTAATGTGTGTGTATGTGTGCATATATGTATGTATCATTTTAAATGAAGAGTAAAATAGATTTACTTTATAGAAAGTAAGTGATGAGGACCTGTGATATGCGGGAAGTGAGCATAAAATAGATTTGTAAGATTCTTATTGTAGTAAAATAGTTTGTGGAAAGTAAGTGATGAGGACCTGTGATATGCGGGAAGTGAGCATATAATTGATTAGAATGAAGCCTTTGGTTTCATTAGCATCTAATAAAGGATGTCCTCTATTTTGTGGATGGATGTGAAGATTGCATGTCTATGTGACAATTGCAACTTTATGATCAATATCATCTGCGAGCAAAAACTCAAGAAGCCGATTTATGGACTTAAGACTGGCATCATCAACATGAATTTATCCCTGAGGGAAAATTTTGGAGTTTTTTTTTACACCATATCAAGCTCGCAATCATTCGTAGTTGAATTAGGATGTTTGAGACTTGGAGTTTATCAGTTCATTACTTTAGAAGTACTTCATATCACTCTTTTTATGTGATTAGTAGCCATGTTGTTACCTAAAATTTCTATCAGGATCAAATGAAGGATTATGAAATTTTATCCCGAAGGCGTTTAATTTACAGTGACTGTTCATTTGTGATGAGAGTGAAGAGATTTACTTTATCGTCATGGAGTGTTTATTTGATTAATACAACTAGTGTTTCCTTTCTAAATGATGATCTGATTATTTTCACAGGTAGATACCTCTGCTTGCCTTTGCAGAGTTGATACTGGCCTGAAAACTGTCACCGGGGCTAAAAGATTTGTACCCAGTTCAAAGCTTTGTACACAACCTAGCATCAAACCCTCCATTCATCCATCCAAACAAAAGGCAACACGCACTCATAAAACCTGTGGCCAGTCCCCTCTTCTCCCTGGTCTCCCTGATGACCTCGCCATCGCCTGCCTCATTTGGGTTCCACGAGCTGAGCACTGCAAACTAAGACTAGTCTGCAAGCGATGGTACCGTCTCTTGGCTGGAAATTACTTTTATACCCTTCGTAAAAACCTCAAACTTACAGAAGAATGGATCTATGTCATGAAAAGAGACAGAGATGGAAAAATCACTTGGGATGCCTTTGATCCAATCTACCAAATTTGGCATCCCCTCCCACCTGTCCCTGGAGAGTACACCAATGCCCTTGGGTTTGGCTGTGCCGTCCTCAGTGGCTGCCATCTGTACTTATTTGGAGGGAAAAACCCGACTAAAGGTTCGATGAGACGTGTAATCTTTTATAGTGCGAGGACCAACAAATGGCACCGAGCTCCTGATATGCTGAGAAGGCGACATTTCTTTGGATCATGTGTGATGAACAATTGTCTCTATGTGGCTGGAGGGGAGAGCGAAGGGATTCACCATTTGCTTACATCAGCTGAAGTATATGATCCAAGCAAGAACCGATGGGCATTAATTCAAGAAATGAGCACTTCAATGGTGCCATTCATTGGTATAGTCTATAATAAAAGGTGGTTCTTGAAAGGGCTGGGGCCTCTACGTCAAGTCCAGAGTGAGGCCTATGATCCAGAAACTGATACGTGGGCCCCAGTGTTTGACGGAATGGTGACAGGATGGAGAAACCCGTGCGTGTGCATAGAAGGAAAGCTATATGCTTTGGAGTGTAAGGATGGGTGCAAGATTAGGGTTTACAGTGATGCGACCAATTCTTGGAGCAAGGATTTCGATAGTGAGATGCATTTAGGGAGCTCGCAGGCTGTGGAGGCGGCAGCTATTGTGTCTATTCGTGGTAAGCTTTGTATTGTGAGGAATGATATGAGTATTTCGTTGGTGCATGTTGCGGGAAATGATGAAGAGAGAGGAAATGGGAGGCGACGGTGGGAGACGATTTCTGGGAAGGGGCAGAGTAAGAGCTTCATCGCGAATATTTTGTCGAATATCGCAGGTTGGAATCGTGTCAAGAGTCATATTATCCACTGTCAGGTTCTCCAAGCTTAGAATGCAACATAGTGATTTTATCCCCTATCAGGTTCTCCAAGCTTTAAAGATGCCTTTTAATTGCTGTAATCAAATCCCTGTTGAAAAGTGATGATGCAAGAAAGAAAGAAGAAATCTCTGATGGTTCTTGGTGTTGTTATGTGCTGGTTGGACAAAAGCTCAGTGAATATTGGGAGAGTTCTCTCCCTACTATTGTAAATTTGTTGGTCATCTAATAAAATGATTGGTCTGTAAATCTTAAGAATTGTGTTATACTTATTAGGCTCTCTTTTGTGAACTTTTATCATTCCCTTGTAATGTTAATTGAGATGAGCGAAGTATCCAAAAACTCTTAATACCGATCATAGGCCATGGACTCCATCTCCGCTTCTCTAATGTAATTGGTTTGTGGTGGTAATGATAACAAACTACACATGTCGCATATTTTTAGACATTATAATGCTAATGTTATGATTTGCTAAAGATCACAAGTACAAGTGATGCACATTTTAGATATAACTAATTGTTTCTTCTATTTGTAACCTATAATTGTTTAGTGTCGTGCGGAAGCGTGCTCGCAAACCAAACGAGTCGGCGAGCAATGAGAGAAGAGAACTAAACTAAACACGAGTGTGTTGGAGACAACGTGCTTGTGGGGACCACACGGTTTTAGTAGGCAATCACGTGAAGAGTACATGAAGAGCTGGGGCAAGGATGTAGGGACCACATGCGTGAAAGACGCGTGAAGAGCTGGGGCAAAGATTCTCGTGGCCAATCTCACGCGGACGGCCCACCCGATTGCCAATCTACGCTATTAATACCCATGCTAGGGTTTATTTCATCTTTGGTGCAAGTGCAGGAGGTTGAGGGCTTGGAAAAGTCGGCTGCAGCAGTACTTGAAGTACAGGCGCTGTGCAATTGAGGTGAGTAGACAGAGGGGAGAAATAATCTAGGCGGCTGTCTCTTAGCTTCGTGAAGGCTTGGAAGAATAAAAGCAGAAGAAAACAGAGGGTTTTCAAGCGGCTTTTGTTAGAGATTTGAGAGTTATTTGAGAGGGTTTAAATTGTGAGAGTTGTAAACCCATTTGTATTCTTTTTCTCTCTAATAGTAGATCCCCCCTCCTTGCCCCGTGGACGTAGCCAGTTTGCCGAACCACGTAAAATTGGTTTGTTGAGTTTGTGGCCATTGTAATAGTTTTTAGGATCCCTCGACAAGTCAGTCCTAGAACTGATGAGAGGAAGAGCCGATATCTCACTTTGTTGAGATATTCGCTTCAGATTCTTGTCTCCTTGGTGCGACGGGAATTCTTATTAGGATCTTTCTCTATTATTGTGCACCAGAAACTCTGCCGAAATTTCCGCCGCGCACAACAAGTGGTATCAGAGCCCAGATTCCAGATCTAGGGTTTGGTTGGAGGAGTAGATCAATTTGGAGGCTCGTTTAGGGCTTCGTTGGTGATAAAGGTGAGATCTTTTGGTAAAGACTCTATCTTTTAGTTTTGGATCTATTCTTCGTTCGTTGGTGCGTAAGATGTCGGGGAAAGAAGGTGCTTCGGGTGTCGAGGGCGGTGCCTCTGGCGCGAAGACCATTCAGAGTTTGAATATCCACTCTATGAAGATAGATGTGGAGAAATTTAATAGCACAAACAACTTTGGATTATGGAGATGCGAGGTTTTGGATGTGCTGAACGCGCAGAATTTGGAGGATACATTGGAGTTAGATGGCAAGCCAGATGATATTGAAGAGAAGGTTTGGAAGAAAATGAATCGAACGGCGTGTGGGGTGATTAGGTCTTGTTTGACTCAAGATCTAAAATATGATGTGATGAATGAGACTTCTGCAAAGAATATTTGGGAGATTCTCGAAAGTAAGTATCTGACAAAGAGTGTTGAGAACCGCTTGCATTTGAAGAGGAGACTTTATCGTTTTCAGTTGAAGAAGGGAACCTCAATTAGAGATCACATGAACACCTACACAAAGCTTCTTGCGGATTTGGCGAATGTGGATATCATAATTGAAGATGAGGACAAGGCGTTGTTGTTGTTGAGTTCCTTGCCAGACGAGGAATATGAGACATTCGTCCTTACTCTGATTAATGGGAAGGCATCTCTTTCGTATAGTGAGGTCACCACTGCACTTGTGAATTATCAGCTTCGAAAGAGCATCTCTTTCGTATAGTGAGGTCACCACTGCACTTGTGAATTATCAGCTTCGAAAGAAGGATAATGAGGCTTCAGTTGAGCCGGTAGCGGAGGCATTGGTCGCAAGAGGGAAGGGTCCAAACCGAAATAATTGGAAGTCACAGTCTAGAGTAGAAAAAGATCAGTGTGCTTGGTGCAAGAAGACTGGTCATTGGAAGAAAGACTACCCAAAGCTCGACGAATGGATGAAGAATAAACAGAAGGGAAAAGGAAAGCAACCATCATCAGAAGCAAACATCGTATCGGATGGTAATAATTCTGACTCTTCTATTTATTCGCTTTCTATCAGTCCTACAGATAGCTATTCGAAGGAATCTGAATGGATGTTGGATAGTGGTGCGACCTATCATGTGTGCCCTAGAAGGGAATGGTTCTCCAGTTTTGAAAAGCTGATGGATAGTGGTGTGGTGTACATGGCTGATAACCGTGCATGCCAGATCCTTGGGATAGGAAGAATTCGCATAAAATGTTTGACGGGACTGTTAGGGAGCTATATGATGTGAGATATGTTCCTTCTTTGAGGATGAACTTGATCTCGATTGGAGCTTTGGTTGGAGAGGGTCTGAATGTTCGAATTGAGGACATGGTTCTCAAGATTTTGGAAGACTCTCGGATTGTGATGAAGGGCGTCAGGAGGAATAACCTGTATTACTTGACTGGAGGTATAGTGGCAGGTGGAGAACTGGCGACTTCTGTTGATTCGACTAGACTATGGCATTTGGGGCTTGGCCATTCCAGTATTGATTCCTCACATATATTGAAAGAGGGTGCGAAGACCTGCAGTTTGAAGTCCAGTGAACATGTTGATGTGAGAAAGAAGACCGAGGTGAAGTTTGGCACCTCTATTCACCGTGCTAAGGGTCGTTCTGGAGGAGTTCACGTAGATGTTTGGGGGCCTTCCAATAGGGCATCATTGGGAGGTAATAGGCATTTGGTTTTCTTTGTTGGTGATTGTTCTAGGCGTGTTTGGGTTGCAACCAAATCCCCTTTGGAGAAAGTCCTAGTAGTATCCAACAGATTGAAAAAGTGTGTAATAGACAGAAAGGTGAAGGTACTCCATTCTGATGGGAGGTACAAGATGGACATGTTTCTGTATTGGAACCGAGCTCACGGCATTTCGAGACACTTCGTTGGAAAGGAAATCTTGGGGCAGCTAGATAAGGTGACAAATTTGGAGAACCGTGCCTTGCTGGAGGAGGATCGGTGTTTGTGGTCGAGCAATGGTTTGCAGAAGAGGTTCTGGACTGAGGCTTCGACATATTTGAGTCATCCTATTAAAGAGTTGTCAACTACTGTGATTGGAGGTAAAACTCCATTGGAAGATAGGTCTGGTAGTGTCACTTTGGTTGAGGCTTCGATGAGGAAGCCAATTGATTCTCAGCAGGTAGAGAGTTTTGAACAGACCTTAGATGTATCGCAGCGGGTGGAGATGGATGCTACTCCACATTGGGTGAAGATTACTCCAGATCATACTGTATTATTTAGGATTCTAGCTGAGGTGACACAGCTTAGGGATCATTTGGATTTAGGTGCAGATGATGAGTTGGGTTCTGATTCGTATGCAGCTGATAGATGCAGTTTGGATATGGTCTTTGGTTTACCTCAGGTGGAGGTGTTTGAGGCCATTGGAGGTGATATCAGCCGCAGAGTTGATGATATTGGAGAAGGGTTGCGAACTCTTCTAGTGGATTGAGGCCTTTGGAGGCCATTTGGGTGAACTATATTTGGCTTGATTCCTTGGGCAAGAGTATACGTAGGCAGTCTTTACGATGCAGCCAGGTTGGATTTTGACGGGGGTGGGATCGATTTGGTGAGTTGATACCGACATTTGGAGAGTGATTGCACTCTCATTTGGGTTCTCAACTTGTTGTGGATTGAGTACGTAGTCGTGAATTGTTTCACTTCGTACTGAACACAATAAGTGAGACATTTGGTTTGGTTGGTGTCAGCTCAGTTTTGGGAAAACTTCACCGAGGTGGAGAATTGTTGGAGACAACGTGCTTGTGGGGACCACACGGTTTCAGTAGGCAATCACGTGAAGAGTACATGAAGAGCTGGGGCAAGGATGTAGGGACCACATGCGTGAAAGACGCGTGAAGAGCTGGGGTAAAGATTCTCATGGCCAATCTCACGCGGGCGGCCCACCCGATTGCTAATCTACGCTATTAATACCCATGCTAGGGTTTATTTCGTCTTTGGTGCAAGTGCAGGAGGTTGAGGTCTTGGAAAAGTCGGCTGCAGCAGTACAAGGAGAAGTACAGGCGCTGTGCAATTGAGGTGAGTAGACAGAGGGGAGAAATAATCTAGGCGGCTGTCTCTTGGCTTCGTGAAGGCTTGGAAGAATAAAAGCAGAAGAAAACAGAGGGTTTTCAAGCGGCTTTTGTTAGAGATTTGAGAGTTATTTGAGGGTTTAAATTGTAAGAGTTGTAAACCCATTTGTATTCTTTTTCTCTCTAATAGTAGATCCCCATCCTTGCCCCGTGGACGTAGCCAGTTTGCCGAACCACGTAAAATTGGTTTGTTCAGTTTGTGGTCATTGTAATAGTTTTTAGGATCCCTCGACAAGTCAGTCCTAGAACTAATGAGAGGAAGAGCCGATATCTCACTTTGTTGAGATATTTGCTTCAGATTCTTGTCTCCTTGGTGAGACGAGAATTCTTATTGGGATCTTTCTCTATTATTGTGCACCAGAAACTCTGCCGAAATTTCCGCCACGCACAACAGAGTGCAATCACCAAAAATATGACACAAATCAAACCAACACAGAGAATTTACATGGTTCGGCAAATTGTCGACATCCACGCGGAGAGGATGGGGAGATTTCACTATATAGAGGAGAAATACAACGGGTTACAACTTAGACAATCACTCAAATATAACCCTAACCAAAGATCTCAACTCCCTCACAATATCTCATTCTCAATATGCTCAACAGACTCTCTTTTTTCTCTCTAATTCTCTCTTCTAATCTCTTCTAAACCGTTCCATATATATAGAAATCCTAAAACCAAAAACATATTATGAATTCTAAAACCAAAAACAAAATTTATTAGGAATCCTA